TGGTAGGAGCCTGCGAGTCCGCCTTTACTTCTCTTTCCCTCTATGTCCATCATTGTCAAGACTCTGACTTTCTTTCCAAAACACATCTACTTCTTTGAATGTCCTCTGCCTCTGCCACAATCCAGGACAACATGGTCCTTTACCTGGCCTGTCACCACACCTCCCATTGGGTCTCCCTGTATTGACTCTCACCTGGGAAAGCTTTTAAAGCTGCAAATCTGATCATGTCATTCAGTCTTAATCTCCTTTGACTCTGTCTCATTCTCACACACAGATACACACATACATACACATATACACACACACACACATACACTGAGAAGTTCTTTTGGCAACCCTTAGCAAAGATTCTGGGATCTCTAGCAGAAGTGGTATTTAAAGCCACAAGAGTAGAAAACTGTAGGAAGGCTGTAATGAGGAGGTGACACTGGCAATGCCCCTAGAAGAACAAATAGGCATGTGCTGGGTGAAAATGACTGGGGAATTCCCACCCAGGAAACATCACATACAAAGACACATCACAGCACTGTAAATGAGCACCAGGGGTGACTGGAGACTCATCTTGTGTGACCAAAGCATTATTTATGGTAATAAAGACAATAAAAATAAGTCACAGCTTGTTTTCCCTGAACACTGGTGCTTTACATATTTAGTTTAGAGTTCCCGGCAGTGGCGCCTGAGACAGGGATGCCTATGAGAGTGACAGACAGGAGGAGGCCCTGGGGTGATGGTGGGGACAGGGTATGGCCTCAGCTGGAGTCTGGCTGGAGAGAGCTAGAACCCCATGGAGAGCTGCAGAGTTGTCTCCCCTTGGGAAAAGGGGAGCGGCTTCCAGACCACTCCCCTGTGTCTCCTCCTTGGTTCACAGTTCCCATATGACAGAGGCCAATTTTCCAAAGAAGGGGCAGCTGTGAGTAGTTAGCAGCTGGACAGTGGGTGACACTTTAGTGAGATACCAGCAGAATCCACAGCACACACATCATTTATTATACTTCTCACCACCTAGGAGGCAGGGTGTGGTCCCCTACATGGCCCATGCTGAGGCTTGGAAGAGCTTGCCAAGTCCCAAGCCCACCTCCTTTCCTCCTCACCTCATCCCAGGTAGAAGGAGACTCTTCTGGGTCACATAACCAGAAAATACCAATTCCTATAACTCCTGGACAGGGTCTGCTTTCAGCAGCGGAAAGAGCTGATCTGCACCAGGCCCTCTATCCACTGCTGCCCTGTCTGAGACCCTATCTCATTCTCACGCCACGCCACCACACCCAGGCAAGTTTGGTACAAAAGAAACCCAGCTCCTTGGGAGGGATAATGTATAGAAGGTAAGGCAGCTATGCAGGAATTTGGAGGAGACTTGCAAGAAAGCCAACAATGGAGCATGCATTTGCAAAAGAAACTTCAAGCCCCAGAAGGGCTAGTCTGAAAAATTTTTTCAAAGGACGCAGTCCAGCTAATACATACCCAGTTGGAGACAGGCTTAGCTGCGATTTCCAAGCAAAGAACATGGTGCTTCAGGAGATGTGCTAATATTAAAAAGCAGGTTTGTAGCATGGTAAAATCAGAGGTTCTGAAAACAAGTTCTCCAGAAATGGCTTCCCACTCATATCCAGAACCTTGCACATAAAAGGTACCCAATGAACATTTGCTGAATGAGCAAATTTTGTACTTTAATGTGTTTACAAAATGCATTTTATGCCACTTGGACTGTTTATCCTCTGAATCCTCAGTGGCTATGAGACCTTTGTTTGGCTCACGTGTACATCAATTCTTTTTTTTTTTTTCTTTGCGGTTTTTAGCCGGGGCTGGGCTTTGAACCCACCACCTCCCGCATATGGGACTGGCACCCTATTCCTTTGAGCCACAGGTGCCGCCCTACATCAATTCTTAATCCAACAAGTGGGACAACTGGCGAGACAACACTCAATGACGAAGCATGTGTGTATGTGGGAGGGTATGTCAGTTCAAGCAGCACTCCATGGAAAAGACTGGAAGGAAATATACAGAACCTTCAACCTTAAAGACCAGAGGCCAGTGGAGTCCCACCCCTCCATGGGGAGCTGCAGGTCCCAGAAGAGTCTAAGTTATTCTTCAGCAAAATCAGCAAGAACTGCATCCCCTATGTTTCCTATATGTGGTAGTATTGGAAAAGGCCACAGTACTTTGCAGCTCCTATCAAGAGGAGATGACTTATACCCTTATACCTAGACTGGCCCTGTGACTGGTTTTGACCAAGAGAACATGCTGGAAGTAATCTTGTGGGCTATTTCAAGCCCAGACCTTAGGGTCCTGCAGTGTCTGCTCTGGGAAACTTTCTTCCACCACGTGAACAACCTCAGGCTAGCCAGGTGGAGGACAAGAGACCATGCGGAACAAAAGTGAGCCTCCAGCCACACCAGCCCATAGCTGATCTGGTAACTTATTGTTGCCTCTAAGGTGATCCTAGGCAAGACCAGAAGAGCCACCAGCTGAACCCAGCCCAAGCACCAACCCTCAGAATCAAGAAGTAGGTAAATATTTATTGTTGTAAGCCACTAAGTTTTAAGGTGTTTGCTATTCAGCAAAACTGATACACTATAAGAAGTCTGGATTGCAATCACAAAATTTACTCATGTTAAGATTGGCTCATACCACCAATTAATTAATCTCTGAACATTCTGATGTCTTTTTCATAAAGTGCTAAGTTAGGAAGCCCCTCTGGGTGATAGCACAAAAGATTTAGAAGGACCGTCAGGAAGTCCAACCACCCTATTTCACTGTTAGGGAAACTGGAGTTCAAGGAAGAGAAGGGACCACATTCACTCAGTACACAAATATTTCCTGAGTGCTATGGGCCAAACATTGTACCCCACTAGGGTACACAGCAGTGAACAAGAGAGATCCTCCCCCAGTGGAAGTCACAATCTAGGGTGAAAATCAGATGTCATTATAACTAAGTCATTACACAGACAAATAGACGACCACAAAGAGTGACCAGCACCATGAATTAAAGTGATCTGGTGCCACGAGAAGAATCGTGGAAAGGGGACCCCATTTGGATCTGGAGGTCACGAAGAGCTCTCTGTAGAAGTGAGTTGGTGGCAGCCTCAGAGTGAGAATGGGGCTCTCCACAGACAGGACAAGGTAAGTGTGTGAAGCTTTAAGTCCCTGCTGTGCAGGTCCAAAGGCCACCTATATCACTCCCAGGCTGAGTCACCAGAGCTGAATTGGCAAATGTTCTCGAGCCTCAGTTGCCTCCTCTATAAAATGAGCTTAACAGTGATATCTACTCATCTCAAAGCTCTTCTGCAGATCAGCTGAAATAACCACTGAAGAAAAGACTTCGCAAACCACAAGATGTTGGGTGAACAGCTGAACTTGATACTGTCAATGGTTTGGGGAAGGTGACATTTTCCCTGAGTCACCTCTCCAAAGAACCATGCTCCCCTCTGCCCAAGCCTTGACCAGACCCAGAGGCTCATGGAGTACCACTTTCTCTTCTTGGGGGAAGGATGGTGCCAAAACTTTCCATCAGGGTCTGAGCCACAACCAACTTTATTTACCATAGATAGTTCTGAAAGCCAGGGTTCGATATGTTAACACATTGCAACTTAAACATTGTGCAAGGCTCAGATGAGATGTTCCAGGCGAGGTCTGGTCTGTCGTGATGACGACATTACAAGCTGACTGTATGCAATTAAATGGCCTCCATGGAGTCTTCCAAAATGCCCACTTCCCAGACCTGGAGTTTAGACCCCCAGTCTATCAGGCCGACACACATCCATGCAATATAAAGACAGCTTTGCAGCAGCAGTGCAGGGCTTACATGGGGACAGGCCAGAGAAGGGACATGGCAGGGCAGCCCCCACACGAGCAGCCCTGCAGGGACAGGAGAGAGGATGTGGCACCTGGCAGTGGAGTTTCCACGTCTCCCTGAACTGCAGTGTCTTCCTCACTGGGAGTGTCCCCTGTGGCCTCTGTGTTACTCATCAATGGCCCCCATGGGACCTACCACAGAATGGGGCACATCAGTGATGTAAGTTAATAGGCTTCTGCTGCCCAAGCTGGAAAACATGGGCCCAGCCTGATAGCTGAGAGGCCACCCAACTTGGACTGCTACAGTGACAATGGCAGTAGGGACAGGGTGGAGGTGAGCTCCGGGCCGGACCATCCCCAAGATTCTCAGCAGCTGTGGAACTTCCTGCCTCTCCATCCAGCACCCGGACCTGGTGCCATCCTACAGGTATCACTGTTTTAGAAACCACGCTCTATCATGCCATAGGCTTTAGTGAGCACCCTCCCCAGGGTCCCAACACCCTGAGCACCATCCCTGGCATCCTTCCTGGACCCTCAGCCTGCAGTGAGGACCCTGTGGCATTATCGTCTATAATGAAAATGCTCCCAGCTGAGAGGAACATTAATTTTCAGAGACCTGACTCTCCATGGTCTCTGATTCCCACTGGCATCTATGTCCCCTAGAGGGCTGGGCTGGGGGTTGGGCTAGCTTTGCCCAGGGATGAGTCAGCCTCCTTCACCACTGGCAAGGTTCTCACTAGAAGGCTCTGGTCCTTTCCCTTTGTGCCATATTCATAATGCTCCCCCGGGGCCTTGCACAGCATTGGGTGGGCTGAAGAATTCTGCATACACCCACACCAAAACACGCTCCACGGGTGCTATGAGGGGGGAAAGGCTGGCCATGCCGGGGCATAGGACACCTGACTCAGTGCCACTGAGAACTCCCCTCTGAGCCTGGGAAATGTGGGCAGCACATTTCAATTTTTATCCAGTTCTCAGTAATGTCTGTTTTAAGCCAAGAGTAGCCAGGTAGCTGACCAATAGAAAACACTCTAATCCCACTTTGATTGTTCCTTTCAAGGGGACTCAGCTGATATTCTTGATCATTCTGAGAGAGGCCCAGGGCAGGCTGGGCTCCCTGCTCTGTACCCTCCCTCCTCCACCCAGGAGCAGCTCAGCTCTGCCAGCCCAAGGCTGAGACCCCCGGGCAGGGAGGACAGTGCACCCACCTGGCTGGTTGACAGGAGCTCTGGGTTTCCGTCACTCATCCCCACGTAAGCACTGTCACCATCAAACTAGAACAGAGAGAGAGGGAAAAGCAGCTCTGATTAAAATGTTCTCAAGGAGGCTCCAGGAGAAGCAGCCAGAGGAGGTCACGGGACTGAAAGCGTGGCCGGGGGGGCCTGCAGAAGCCAAGATCAGAGCCCAGGAGGCAGAGGCCCCATTTGGACCATTTTTGTGGCCCGTTGGGGTTCAGGTTCACACCATTAATCATACTTGGGAGGAAGACAGGAAAACCTTTCTGCCTTCTAGACTTCGTCCAAAGACTGCCGCATCAGGTACTGAGCTTCCCATCCCTGGAAGTATGCAACACCTCCCTTGGCCAAAACAACATCAAGTGACCAGCTAAAGCTAGAATCTCATGTTCCAAGAGAGACCCAGATCTCCAGAGCCTTGGGGCCATGACAGCTTGCCCCAGACATACTTCTTGGCTTTGTGGCTTTGCCCCTTCACCTATCCCATCCTAGCCCCTAAGGCCTTCCCTGGCCACAGACAGTGAGGGTTGTGGGAGAAACAGTGTGTGTACAGGGACACATGTATAATACAATCCTGTATTTGGAGAAGCTGCCACCGCTGAATACAGGAAGACGTCCCTACAATGGAGCAGATGCAGTGGATGAAATGTGGGTCCTGGGGCCCTTGGCTCCCTCTTTGCCCTGATGTGTGACCTTGAGCAGGTGTCCAAACCTCTGAGGCTCCTTTATCAAATGATCATGCTCCCCTCTTCAGAAGATGTTGCACTGCTGAGCTCTTGACTCGATTACAGCTAGTGGCCTTCTCTTGAGCTACACAGCAGTCTGACTCTGGGTTCTCTAGAAGCAGAGCCTGAGGCAAGGGTTCAAATTCATGTGATTTTTGAGGGACTGCTCTTTAAACATAACCTGTACATGTGGGAGGGAAGAAGAACAGGGCAATGAATGCAGCTGAGCCAGGTGGTAATCTCAGCTAATGACTTCCTTCAGTCTGACCCCATAGGGAGCTCTAGGGCACAAACAGCACTGTACTGTCAGTTCCAAATGAAGCAAGGAATAGCCTTTGCAGGCCGTGTAAGTAAGTCATTGGCTGTGAGCTGCCCTTAGGGGACACACGGATGCATGACCTTCTGAGCACGATGGTCCCCATTTGGCCAAGGATGACTCTCCAGGGTTAACCGGACCAGCTGCCAGCCATTTGTTGTCAGCGCTCACAGCAGATGGGAAATGTCCGTGCTGGCTGGTAACAGGTTCTGGGTGGGCCACCAGTGGCAACCAGCCATCTTATTTTAATTGAATGATTTATTTATTAGGAAATAGTCACATGGTTCAAAATTCTAAAAGTACAAAAAGCAACACCACCCCTCCTCCCAGCCAGCCATTGTCCTTCCCCAGAGACTCGTGTTTCTGGCAGCTGCTTTGTGTCTTTCAAAGACTGTCACCATATATACATTTTACAGTCATTCCTTCCACAAATGGCAGCATACCAGACACCCTGTTGTACACCTTATTTTTGTCTTAACAACACATCTTGGAACATGTTTTATATCAAACATAGCTCTGTCTTCTGTGCCTCATATCCCGTAATATGGATGTAACATCCTTAACTATTAAATAGTTGAGTGCATGGGCGGTTGCATCATTTCTAGTCTTTTCTATTCCGACACTGTTCCCAAGAGTACAGCCAAGAGTAGCCAGGTAGCTGACCAATAGAAAACACTATAGTCCCACTGTGTTCCTTTCACGGGGACTCAGCTGATATTCTTGATCATTCTGAGAGAGGACCATGGCAGGCTGGGCTCCCTGCACTGTACCTCCCTCCTCCACCAAATATTTTTATACATCTATCATTTATCCTGGGTGCGAGTTTAGCTATAGGATTAATTTGTATGACTGCTGAGCCCAACTGTCTGTGTGTTTATAATTTGGATAGACATGACCAAGTAGCCCTTGGTTATAGAAATTCAAACTCACTCCCACCACCATGCTTGAGGTCCCCCAGCTTCACTTGGAGAATCTTTGCTCAACACCTGACTCAGATGCCAGCCCCCTACCCCTGTGGGCTGAGAGCCCCCCACCACCTCTACCACCATTCCTTGCTTTACTTTGTTCTTTGTTCCATAGCCCCTCTGACCTCCTTACCTTCTAGAACTCTCTATAATTTACTTATTTACTATGATCATTGCTTATGGTTGGATTTCCTCTACTAAACAGAGGCTCCCGGGGTTCTGGGATCTTAGTCTATCTGTACACTGATGCCTCCCAAACTCCTAGAATGGTGCCCAGAACAGAGTAGATGCTCAATAAATGTTTGCTGAATGAATGAACAAATGAATGATGCAGCTACTACAATATTCATATTATCCCTTACCATGCCAGTCTTCCCATGGAGGCAGTGGGGTTGGTGGTTACACCCTAGAGCCTCTCAGCACAGGGATGGGCAGAGTTCCTTGGCAACTGTGGAGTTATCAAAAGGAAAGTCTGTGCCACGCCTAGAGTTTATGCACTGACCCCCGTACAGAGCCCTGCCCACCATATTGCACCCAGAGCTCATGATTCAAGGCCTGCACCTCCCCCAGGAGGTCTACCATGCTCTCATCTTTTCTGGCTGTCCCTGTCATAACACAGACTGTCTGCACATTTGCCATCTATCCTGGAGTGGGACCAAAATGGAGGCTGGAACTGTGTCCTGGTCATATCTGAATCCCCCCAGCACCAGGCACAGGCATTAAGCTGGCAGGGTAGTGTCACATTCAATGAAAGCTCCTGGATACAGTCATTGGTTTCTTTAACATAAAAAAGACTTTGTAAGCATCATACATAATGTATAAGTAACATATTCTAATGGAAAGAATAATTAGAAATGGGGGGCATTAAGTTTAATCAAGTGTCTGAAACATTGCATAAAGCAATACTAATCAAACAGTATGGTACAGGTTAAAAATACAGAAATATACATCAGAGAGACAGAAGACAAGATGTTTGAAAAGCCTTTGTAGCAGCCACTGTTTATTAAATGCTAGCTAGAACACAGCCACCACAAGGGCAGGGGCCATCATCTGTTTTGCATGTACCCCATAGGAAATAAATAAGTATGTGGTGAATGAATGTATCTGGCCCTGAGAAAAATGCTTCACATAAAAGATCTCATGTCCTCCCAATGAACCAATGAAGAAAGTAGTCTTTCCCTGTTTAAAATCAAGGAAACTAATGGAGAGAGGAAAAAGTGTGACCCAAGATCACACAGTGGGGGAGAAACTGGACTTTGAGAATAACTTGATTTTTTTCCTGGTCTGTCTCTCCTATTAGGCTGCAAGTTCCTTGACAGCAGGGACTCAGGGTTTTTTAGATCCTACCACATTAATAATTAGCCCACGGCCTGGCACATAACAGGCGTGTAATACGTTTGTGCTAGAGGTTCAGGAGAGGGAGGCGTTATCCACGGTGAGCAGCGACCACGGCATTGAGAAGCAGGGCAAAGATGCCTGGATTTCGGTGTGTGTGTGTTGGGGTAAGCAAGACTGGGGGCAATGGGTACCCATGAGGTCACGAGGGTCTCTCTTATTCATTCACTCATTTATTCAACCAACACCTAAGAAACAGCTGCCACATCCCAGGGCAAAGATGCTTCCAGCTTTTGAGTTTAGTGGAGGTTCCCAAGACAGGGCCTGAGTCACCTCAGTTCAGTTACCCCTGAATGCTCTGCATGGTGCCCTGGAGCTACTGAGGACCAGTGACTAAGAGAGCAGAGACCCTGAGCCAGAGGGGAAGCCAGTTCTCTGCCCACCTCTGCCTGGGCTCCACCAGGACAGGGCTCTTAGAGAGGGAAAGGGGACCCTGAGGGCTGCCAGGCATCCCCTGGCTTGACCTCAGGACACCAAAGCCCAAGACTTACCCCCTCATTCCCTCCTCATTTGGGACCCATTCTTGAGGAATGAAGCCGAAAGCCAAGCCACTGCTGTCCCCAGACATAGCAGGGCTACCTCCTCTGTGTGTGCGCACAGACAAGATCCCAAACTCCACATCCTCACCCACCACACTGCATACGCTGAATATGGGCACAAAGGTATCTGACATATGCTGAGGGCACAAGGATGGGGGCACACACATGCACCACACATCGACTCACATTACACACAACACAGCGTTCAAGAGAGCACCTAGTCGCACATGTACTACACCCATAGGTACACAAACCAATGGGTGCATGGTACAAGCATGTGTGTGCACATACCAGTGCCCTTGAACATGACTGTATATAATGCCCACGGCATGCACACAAGGGAAGGGAGGCCACGCCCAGACGTGTATAAATACCCCAAGTATTTGCACCTGTATAAATGCAGCTCACATACACGCCAATACATACACTGCAGGTGCTCGTGGAGATATACAAAGCAGAGATGCACCTGAACTTAAATTCTGTGCAGATTTCACAATTTATCAGTCTCTAGGTCAAAAATCTTTCTTTCACACACACAACCTTCTGTAGGCTTTAAAATGCAGGAGAGGGGGAATGTAGGGAGAATCAACAGCCTCAGAATTTCCATGAAATGCCAGGAGAACATCCTCTTACCAGCGACTGGAATAGATTAATTTTCCCCATTTCATATTCTAATTATAATTCCTTTTCCCATTGCCATCTTCAGTCCTCATTACAGCTGGAAGATTGTTCTGCAAAAGCCAGGCCTTCATCTTCTCTTCCCAAGAGTTTTGTCATGGAAATGAGTTTTGGAATCTGAAAGAACCCACATTTTTGCAAATATCGAATGTGTAGGGATAACCCTTTCCTGACGGACACCAGGGACACAGCTCAGAGAGGTTTCTACAGGGTCTGTGTGGTCCTCTCTGGGACAGGAGTTCCAGGGTCCCTATTCAAATAGCCATGCCCCAACCTAAGCACACCCTGTTCCCCCTAAGCTTTTTAAAAAAAAAAAAATTTAAGGAAACTTAGTAAATAGGCCCCCAAGCTCGCCACCTTAGGCAAGTTCTGTCACTGCTCTAAGCCTCAGTTTCTCATTCTTATGACCCACAGAGTCACT